TGGGAAAATGTTCTTACAGTTGGGTGGCAACTAATACATACAGAAGGATGATAAAGCTGAAAAAGCACCATTTTGTAACTATCACAGGGAAAGCATCAAATGAACGTAAACTAGTGAATGAAATTTTAAAAACAAGACATTATATAGTCTCAAACATCTCCCCAGAAACTACTTATTAATTCAATAGAGCAAAATGGTAACATGACAGTAGAGATACCTGGAAGATACCACCTTAACCGAGTGATTAAAGTTACCATCGCTGGGCCCACACTGATGTAATGTGCTTTCTGTTATGATGCACTGAGAAGGCCACCACTTCACTCCTGTGGTGTTCCTGCCAAAATACAGAACCTGAATCTAAGCATGAGGAAACTAGACAAATCAAATTTGAGAAATGTTCGACAAAAAAACTGGCCTGAACTCTTCAAAACAGTCCATGTTGAAAGATAAAGAAAGGCTAGGAAACTACTTCACATTAAAGGAACTAAACTGATGGGGTGCCTGGGTGCTTAAAGTGACATATCAATTACACATACTACAACCAACTGGACTTTGGATTAGATAATAGCATGTACTGAATTATATATCCTGTTTCGATAATTGTGCTATGGCTATGAGAAAAGGACTAAGAAAATGTCTTTGTTCTTAAAGCAGATAGTTAAGTTTTTAGAAGTAAAGTAGTGTAATCTACAACTGATTTCCAAACAGTCCGTAAAATATAATAATAATAGCAGTAGTAGTTATAATAATAATGACAACGGTAATAATGATGGTATAAATTAAATCTTCAGTTCTCTTCAAACTAAATAATCTCAATTATTTTAGCCCTTTAAGAGACAATGAGACAAAAGGATTCAAAGTCGCCTGGTTTAAGCAGGAACTTGGGAAGTTAACAAAAAGGGATCTGTAGTCTCAATTCAATGGAGATTAATAAAAAAAATATTGAGTAGTCATCCTATATTCAAAGAGCTCACAGTCTATTAGAGAAGGAAAACATGCATATAAATAGAGTGTAAGAGAAGCATACTATATGTACCAAAAATGAAGTATAAGAAAGTACTAAGGAATGTTGAGAGGGAGTGACTAATTCTGTCTAATATATTGTACTAAGTGCTTTATATATTCATTCATTAAATGTACAACAATCTCATTAAGGTAAATACTATTTTATCCCCATTCTGCAGATGAGGCAATTGAAGCACAGAGAAGTTGAAAATCTGGCCATAGATTATCCAGTTAGTTAGAAGTACAGGTATGAAACTCAGACAGGCTGACTCCATAGCCCATGCAAAAGGCTTAATGGAGGAAGCAGCATTTGAGTTGATCTTTAAAAAATAAGTATAATTTCAATAGAATGCGAAGTGGGAAGAAGAATATTTAAGACTGAAGGAAAAACAAAAGTGAAGGCATGGAGACAATAGATACAGGTCATATAAGGGAAACTGAAAAGTTCAGGGAATGGTATGTAAGATGTGGGGAGAGAAATGGGTAAGAACAGAGGTTGGGAGATTAGACAGGCTTAAGAAATAAATTAGACTCCATCATGATTATTAGGCTATATAATTATTAATATAGGCTATATAATTATTATATAGGCTATATAATTATTAATATAGCCTTTGTTAGTAAAGAGAATGATTCTTATAATATGTACCATAATCTTGATGTAATTCAGTGGATTCCACATAAGGAGTCGGCCTTTGTGACATCCAAATGAACCTAGTACTAATAAAATCTTATTACAATTCAATCTCTTCTAAAAATACCAGACCACAAATCATGAGAACACTTTCACAGTGACCTCCACACCCATATATATAATAATTTCATTTCACAATGATCCTATTACCATGCAATGTGGAAATTGCCAGAACTGAAAACAGAAAATCTACAGTGCAACATTTCTGCCTTACTTTAACACAAACTATATAAAGCTTTTAAGAAACAGTGAATGAAATGTAAATAAATCATGTAGCTCTGCTGTTACAGTTCCTTGTTTGTCATAATATTTATGAAAACTAGGTGATCCAATTAAAGGGATATAATGAGTAATATATTCCATGAACTCTGTTAGATATGCAGTTCCAACCAGTAAAACAACCAGACTTGAATGCTTAATGCTAGATCTCTGAGTTGGTAGCAGGTATAATTGATTGCTCAATTAATAACTGAAAATAATATTTTGGCTTCATAGTAAATTAATTATGGGTAAAGCAAAGCATGTGGCACTTAGAAATCTCTGTATTCATTTCTTAGTAAATATAAATATTCGTGAAAATCTGATTTTCATTTACTACAGTTTTAGCCTGTTCAAAATCCATACTGTAACCAGAGTACATGAAACAATCCAAGGTCAATAAAAACAAACATTTAAAATTTTCAGAATTTCAGAAAATATTTAAAACTAAACCATTAACAAATTCATTAGTGACTATTTTTCATATATTTAACAAAGAACAAAAATGAACTTCATTTCTATAAAACATCTTCGAGCCAGAGTTCTTAATGCCCAACAAAATCTTATTCTATCCTGGAAAAATCCTAACTTATCTCCTTGACTGACAGAATAGAATTGATTAGTGAGATATAGGCGATATTTAGGAAGCATCACAGAAGAAAAGAATATGAAAAAGGCAGACAAACAATTTCAAAGAGCATTTGGAAATCAAAAGTTCTATTTGGCTTAGTCTAAAACTAAAACATAAGTGGACAATTAAAGAAATAGAACAATGAGGTATAAAAAAATTCTCTCACCTAAAAACACCTAAAATGGTATGTAAAACTCAACAATCATCCTTTGCCTTTCTAAATGGATTTCTGAGAATAAAGGGAAATACACAGGGCGTTAACAAGGAGGAAAAGAACTAAAAAGCAGTGTAATAATCTTGAACAGACATTACAGCTGCTGGGAGGGGTATTTGCTAATAGGGATTTAAGCTTTAATAGCAAGACAAAGAAGAGAGGGTGGTCCTGGGTCCCTAACATTGTGGAAAGTGGGAACTAATATCACTACATGAAGGCAGAAACCTTGAAAAGCTACATTCCCTATGAAAAGGTGCATTAAAAAAAATCGTATTTAATAGCAAAGGGAGATGATAAAAGGTAATTTGTCTGTTTAAACCTCAGCTCCAAATGAAAAGGTTAAAGGAATCTCATGCTTAAAAACTAATGTTAACTGGCCTTAAGTTCTAGTATCATGAGTTGTCTGACATCAGCAAGAAATTCCAAAGAAATGTGGAAAAAAATTTTTTAAATGTTTATTTTTGAGAGAGACAGAGAGAGAGAGAGAGAGACAGACAGACAGACAGAACTCAAGCAGGGGAGGGGCAGGGAGAGAAGGAGACACAGAATCCGAAGCTGAGCTGTCAGCATAGAGTCTGACGTGGGGCTCGAACCTATGAACCATGGGATCACTACCCGAGCTCAAGTCAGAAGCTTAACTGACTGAGCCACCCAGGTGCCCCCTTTGTGTGGAAATTTATTCTTAACCCAGGCCCCACAAGATTCCCACAGATTTAACTTCCCAAAATGAATTCACAATATAAGATTACAAAACTATTAGGGAAATAAAACACCAGGAGTAAAGTCAACAGAAAAAAAACAAAAAATTAGATCTAAATGGACATCGAATATTAGAAATAACAAATACAGAATATAAAATAACTATGCTTAAAAAATTATGAAAAGAGGAAATTAAAACACGAGCAAGAAAAAGTTTTTATAACAACCCAAATATAATTTCTAGCAATGAAAAATATAATTATTTAACTAAAACCCTAACTATAAAAATATTTTTCCAACAATACTTTAAACAATTAGGGGAAAATGATTATGGACTGGTTATGAAAGGATCAAGGAATTCTTGATAATTTTTATTAGGTATGATAAGAACATGGTGATTATCTAAGATGTCAGTATTTCTTAGATGTATGTAGGGCATGTTACCTGGAATATCCTTCAAAATACTTCAGCAAAGAAAGAGAAAGGAATAGATAAAGCAAATGTAGGAAATGTTAGAAATGTTTAATCTGAACAATGTATATATGTGAAATTTTTATAATATAAATAAAATGAAAACTTTACTCAGATGTGGAATTTAAGAAACAAAACAGACAAAGAAAGGGAAAAAAAAATAAGAGAGAGAGAGACAAAAGAAGAAACAAACTCTTGGGGTGCCTGAGTGGCTCAGGTGGTTAAGTGTTTGACTCTTGATTTTGGCTCAGGTCATGATCTCACAGTTCATGAGTTTGAGCCCCACATGGGGCTCTGTGCCAATAGCACGGAGCTTGCTTGGGACACTCTCTCTCTGCCCCTCCCCTGCTTGTACACACACACTCTCTCTCTCTCAATCTCTCAAAATAAATAAACATTAAAAAAAAAAAAAAAAAAAAACCAGGGGCGCCTGGGTGGTGCAGTCGGTTAAGGGTCCGACTTCAGCCAGGTCACGATCTCACGGTCCGTGAGTTCAAGCCCCGCGTCGGGTTCTGGGCTGATGGCTCAGAGCCTGGAGCCTGTTTCCGATTCTGTGTCTCCCTCTCTCTCTGCCCTTCGCCCGTTCATGCTCTGTCTCTCTCTGTCCCAAAAATAAATAAACGTTGAAAAAAAAAATTTAAAACAAACAAACAAACAAAAAAAACCAAACAGACTCTTAATTATAGAGAACTGATGATTACCAGAGGGGAGGGGAGTGGGGGCATATGTTAAACACATGACGGGGATTAAGGAGTGCACTTGTCCTGATGAGCATAGGGTGATGAAGGAAACGTTGAATTACCATATTGCAAACCTGAAACTAGAATAATACTGTATGTTAACTAATTGTAATTAAAATAAGTACTTAAAAAAAAGAATTAGAAGAAAAAAAAAAAGAAAACTCAATGGATAGTATAATCAAAATATTAGACAAAACCAAAAAGGAAATTAGAGAATTGGAAGATGGATCTGAAAAGACCATCTAGATTATGATTAAAACTTAAAGGAGAGAAGAAAAAACAACTCACCTTCCTTTGGGCTCACTGCTGCAGGAAGACTATTCCAATCAAGGGTCCAAGTAGGGCAAGGGTGGGGAGAAAACATCACTTCAATGCCTTTTTCCTAGAAATAGGAAATAGACTCTTTCTGAATTAATGAATTAATAAAATTCTGTTGTGTTTTAGAAGATCAAATTTCTATTTTCTACACTGACAAGAAGAAACATAAATATTAACAACCATTAAGTGTTCCTCAAAATATTTAGTTACATAAAAAATATAATATGTTGTTTTTTGAGAGCACACTTTCCTATTTTTTATACTGAGATAACAAAAAAATGCTATTTTTAAATTATTACCTAAAACTACATAGAATAAGCTACCTAGAAATAAATTAGGTGTCAAAAAGAAAAGTTACCTGAGGATAAAAATTTTATCAAAAACGTTCCACACAGAGATAATAAAAAACTGATTCTGCATATGTCCATCAAGACCTGTCTTCACATATATGAAAGTTGCTGCCACCTAGGAGTTACATTTATATGACAAAAAGCACCCACTTCAACATAATACCCCAAAACATCATCCATACCAGTCTTTTACAAGTGCTTATAATGCTCTAAAAAAAGATTCCTCTGTTGTAACCAAATGGTTCCCAACATTTTCAAAAATGAGGACCACTTTCCAGTATACAACAAACTTCTCAGGCTCTTTCCCCTGAGGAGGAAGTTAAAAGTTATGCATTTACTTATTTGATCTGCTGATAGTTACATGGCATACATACGGACTCCCAGACCCCTTGCAATCACATTCTGGGTATGTGGCCCACAGGATAGATACCCATGGTTCAGGTATTTTTATCTTCAGAAATATTATATTCAAAAGAAAAATTTCTGAGAATCTATCACTAGTTTGAATCAATTAGTTCATGAGATTACTTTCCATTATGAAAACCAGATGAATTCTGGTCCCAAAGGAAATAGTATAAAGATTCTTATTTGAGGTAGAGATATATCTATAGATCTAGAGGCCTAGAGAACTTATCTGCTCCCAGAAAAATAAACACATCTCTCTGACATCATCTACCTCTATTCTATATCCCTTATTCTAGCCTAGCCATACTGAACTTGTTATCCCTCATTTCACCAAATTTAACCTTACCTTAGAGTCTTTTCAAAAATACTATATGAGATATCATTTATATACCATTACATTTATAACATACAATTCAATACTTTTTATAATATTCACAGTCAATACTAATTTTAGAAATTTTTCATCATCTCAACAAGAAATTCCATATCTATTAGTAGATACTTTCTATCCTGCCCCCTCCCCCCGCCCCCCAGCTCCTTGACCTAGGTAACTACTAATCTACCTTCTGTCTCTATAGATTTGCTCAGGGTCTGTTCAGTAGCTGGATCCTCTGCCTAGAACACTTCCTCCAAATCTTCAATTCATTCAGGTTATTTGCTCAACGTCTTCACCATGTCAGTAAGCCTTCCTGACCACTCCATCTACAAAGGACCCCAACCCACATAACCTCCACCCCCTTACCCCACATTATCTTTTTATAGCACTTATCATTACCTAATGTGTTCACACATTAAATTGTGTTTTTTCCTTATTTACCTTCTTTATCAGAATATAAGGCCCATGAAGGCAGTCCAATTTGTTTTTCATATATCCCACATTCAAAACAATGACTAAACATACACATTTTTTGGACTAACAGAATAAATAAATTTAAAACCTTTGGAGAATAAGGGAAATTTTGTAGGTAGGAGTACACCAAAGAAAAAAGAAGAGGGAAAAGTGAGATGTGAGTGTTCCTAAGAAATACTTCACTATTTTATACTACCACTTGGCACCAATTTCATTTGTCCTCATGTAACTGGCACAAAATACTGTGACTACACAAAAATTAAAAGTTACTATATAAATAAAATTAATACATTCATATATTATTTTGATATAATATTTACTATTTTTCAAAACGTATGTCAATAATTCATTAGTAAGTAGCAAATACAATGTCCTGCTAAAAAGGAGCATTTATTGTATCTAATACATACTATCAAGTTAGAATTAAATGAAAATAGAAATTTTATTTTCAGGGTTGGACTTTCTTTTTTAAATTTGTAATTTTTACTTTAGAGAGAGAAAGAGAACACAAGAGTAGGGGAGACGGGGAGAGGGAGAGAGGGAGAGAGAGAGGGAGAAAGAATCTTAAGCAGGCTCCACGCTCAGTGAGGAGTCTTATGCAGGACTTGATCCCATGATCCTGGGATCACGACCTGAGCCAAAATCAAGAGTCAGACCTCAACCAACTGAGCCCCCAGCCATCGTTTTTAAATTGTTGATGTAATGTCCCAATCATTTTTTATATAACCATAAGATTTGAAATCAGAAAGAATCTTATAGAATAGCTACTACACTCTCCTAATTTATAAATGGAGAAATTAAGGCCCTTAGGTTAAATAACATACTGAAGATCAGAATGTTAGCTTAGTTACAAAGCTAGGACCAGACTACCTGGTCTATAGTAGTCTTCCCATGGGCTGCTCCCAAGCCAATGAGTGAGACTGGTTAAGATACTATGTTAGGCCTATTCCTGAGAAACATGGAACTCTCAGACAGATGATTTGGGCTCAAGGATTCCCAAAGTTTTGGCTTGCCAAAACTTTCTCAGACCTCCACTAAACTCTAAAACTTCTCTAACCCAGTCTTCCTTCCTTTCCTGACTCATGTACAAGGGCCAAACCTGCATCCCAGCCTGAAGGCTCTCCCAGCCTCCTCTGTCTCCTTCCCCACTTTACCTCACAGATTTCCCTCAGTAAATCTCTTGCACATTTAACTCCATCTTGGAGTCTGCTCAGGGGACCTGAACTAACACATTCCCCGTAAATTAAGAAGTCAGGATTCCTTTATATTTTTTATGTTATTATAAGACAGCTTATTTTTACAATTGCTTGTTAACTTTTCCTGAATTTAAATTTGTTCTTTATTTCTCAGTGTTTAAATATTTTTAAGATGTATAAAATACAAATGTTTTCCCTAATGTCATTTTATTGCTAGAAAAGCATAGGTAGAAAAATCTGAATCACCAATTTTTCATTTAAGACTCTGTGTAACTATGAATTACAAGCAGATTTTTGGGGGCGCCTGGGTGGCTCAGTCAACTGAGCTTCCGACTTCAGCTCAGGTCATGATCTCACAGTCTGTGAGTTGGAGCCTCTGGTTTGCTCTATGCTAATGGCTCAGAGCCTGCAGACTGCTTTGGATTCTGTGTCTCCCTCTTTCTCTGCACCTTCCCTGCTCGTACTCTGTCTCTCTCAAAAAAAATAAAAATAAAAAAATAAATAAAAAATAAAAAATAAATAAAAGCAGACTTTTGGTTTGTTGAAACTTTAAAAATTTGTATTTTATTTGCTTAATTTTATTAAAAATTTTTTTAATGTTTATTTATTTTTGAGAAAGAGAGGAAGAGTGCAAGTGGGGGAGGGGCAGAGAGAGAGGGAGACAGAGGGCATGAATTGGGCTCCACGCTGACAGCAGTGAGCCTGATATGGGGCTCAAACTCACGAACTGGAGATCATGACCTGAGCTGAAGTCCGACACTTAACCGACTGAGTCACCCAGGTGCCCTAAATATTAGTATTTTAATACAAAGCAAGTTACTCTCCTGCTGATCATTTAAAGAAACTCAGGAGGTCAACCTGAGATCCCGACACAGTACAGCCATCTGATCAAGACACATCACACTTTGGATATGCCTTGATACCTTCTAAAATCAACTAAATAATCTTATTTCATTGTTTCATCACGAAGCTAACAAAACTGAGAAGGTAAGGGGCTGGGGTCACTAATACAATCCTGTTCTTTTCTAACTGAGCAAACTCTATTAATGATAGAATTCAAATGCTTCCTAACCCAAGTGGGGAAATATAATGACTATTTTTCCAGTACAACTCAGATGAACATCTCAAATTACTTCCTGATTTTTCCTCTATTCAAATAAATCTTCAAATAGCTGAAGTCAAGGGCAAAACATTTTTGTAAATTGTGTAGAATGACAGAGAAAAGAAAGTCTATTGGGGAGAACTTGTACAATTAATATTATTAGAAACAAATTTTGCTTCAAAGAGAGAAATATAGATCATATGTGTTATTCTATCAAAAGGCTTTAAAACAGGGGTGCCTGGGTGGCTCAGTCAGTTGAGCACCTGGCGATTGATTTCAGCTCAGGCCGTGATCTCACAGTCTGTGAGATGGGGCCACGTGTTGGGCTTTGTGCTGACAGTGCAGAGCCTGCCAGGGATTCTCTTTCTCTCTCTCTCCCTCTCTCCTGCCCCTCCCCTACTTGTGCTCACTCACTCTCTCTCAAAATACATAAATAAACGTTAAAAAAGTTATTAAAGTAAAAAGTAAAAAGAAAATGCAAAGAACTAAAAACTTAAATGTAGGCAAAACCTTAGAAAGTAAATTGATATATTCATTTTCGTATTCTTTAACTTCAAACCACCATCTCAAAATTTAAAAACTGAGGCCAAAACCTTGCAACAGAAAAACACCAGGTTAAAACAATACATTTGACCAGATGTGATATCACCTTGGTCAATGTCTTGAATATAAAAAAACAAGTTTTGAGAAAAATACTTTTTTTATTAAAAAATACTTTTTAATGTTTATTTATTTTTGAGAAGACACAGAGTGCAAGAGGAGGAAGGGCAGAGAGAGAGGCAGACACAGACTCTGAAGCAGACTCCAGGCTCTGAGCTGTCAGCAGAGCCTGAAATGGGGCTCGAACTCACAGACCAGACTGCGAGATCATGACCTGAGCCGGAGTCGGACACTCAACCGACTGAGCCACCCAGGCACCCTGAGAAAAATATTTTTAAAAAATATATATTCTGACTTACTTGGCTCCAAAGACACATACTATTAAAAATCTTCAATTTACTATACCTCACTTACATGCAAAAGACATGGAAATATTAACTGGTCAAGGGTGATGTAAAACAACTACAAATAAAATTTAAAACAAAAGTAATGTCAATAAATGATTATAAACTGGGGTAGAATGCTCAGCAACATTATCACATGGAATTTTTCAAAGAAAATGTTAATGAAAACATTTTAAGTACCATTAACTTGGTCATAGTGGGTCTTGGTCCTCCTAAAAATGAAGTATCATTTTGCTCCTCCACACCTGGGACCTCACTTAAGTTTGCATCTTGTTCCTTCAAGGTGGTCAGCAACTCTGGTAAGTGGAGAAATTGGATCCCACACTGAGAAGCTGCTGTTTTTACTCTGGGCACTTCCTGAATCCTTTGGTACCAAGCAGCCAGCAGTGGAAATTCTATCAGCTTTTCAGAAAGTTTCTTGCAGATAATTGCCTAGGCAGACAAAGAACAAAACACACTATTCTATATTTTTTGTGTTTAACAGCCATATTGAGGTAACTTTACATACCATAAAATTTGCACATTTTAAGCATACAGCTCAAACAATGAGTTTTAGTAAATTTATACAGTTGGGCAACTATCACCACAATCCAGGATTAGAGCACTTATATCACACCAGAAATTTCCATTATGACCACCTGTAGTCAATCTCTGCTTCCCCAGTTAGTTGTAAGCAACCACTGATCTCCTTTCCATGTCTATAATTTGCCTTTTCTAGTATTTCATATAAGTAGAACCAGAAAACATGTCTTTTTTCACTTAGCATTAATTTTTTGAGGTTCATGTATGTAGTTGCATTTACTAGTAGATTGTTTCTTCTTATTATAAGTAGTAGTCATTGTGTGGAATAATATATTTTGTTCATCCATTTACCAGTTGATAGACATTGCATTGTTTCCAGTTTTTGGTAATTATAAATAATGTTGCTATACAAACTCATGCACCAGTGTTTGTATGGGAATGTTTTTCATTTCTTAGGAGTAGATACTAGGAGCCACGTTGCTAGGTTATATGGAAACTATGCTTAAGTTTCCACGAAACTGCCTAACACTTCTCCCTGATGGCTGTGCCATTTTATACCCTCACTAGCAATGCATGGAGGTCCTAATTTCTCCAAATCTTGCCAATGATTGGTATTGTCAGTCTTTTTTATTTTCACTATTCTAGTGGATGTGCGGCAGTATCTCATAGTGATTTTAATTTGCATTTCCCTATGATTTGATGATGTTGAGCACCATGTGCTTGTTTGCCATTCAAATATCTCTGGTGAAAGTATGAGAGTCATGTAATTGGCAGTTATATATATGGCAAAGAAGTTACAGAGATGGCAAACAAGTACATGAAAAAACGTACATCATTTATACCATTAAAGAATTGCAAATTAAAACAAGAAGACACCACTGCACACCTACTAGAATGGGGAAGAGGCAAAACCCTGACAAAAGCAAATGATGGCAAGGATGGGGAGCAACAGGAACTCTCATTTGCTGCTGGTGGGAATGCAAAATGGAACAGCCACTAAGAAAGGCAATTTGGCGACTCCTTACAAAGCTGAACAACTCACCATATGATCCAGCAATTGCACTCCAAATAAGTTAAAGACTTATGTCCATGTAAAAACCTGCACTTGGATGTTTATAGCCAAAACTTGGAAGCAACCAAGATGTTCTTCAGTAGGTGAATGGATACACAATCTGTGGTACATCCAAACAATAGAATATTATTCAGCACTAAAAAGAAATGAACTCATCAAGCCATGAAAAGACACAGATGAACACTAAAAGCATATTACTAAGTGAAAGAAGCCAACCTGAATGGCTATATACCATATAATTTGAAGTATGTGACATTCTGGAAAAGGTAAAACTATGAAGACAGTAAAAGAATCAGTGGTGGTCAGGGGTTAGGACAGAGGATGAATACGTGGAATATAGATTTTTAGGGCAGTAAAACTATTCTGTGTGATACAATAATGACGGATGCATGTCATACATTTGTCGAAACCCACAGAATGTACAACCGAAACAGTGAACCCTATTATAAACTATGGATTGGGTTATAGTAATGTTTTAATGTAGGTTCATCAGTTTTAATAAATGTACCACTCTGGTGCAGGATTTTGATAGTAGAGGAGACTGTGTGTATGGGGACAGAGAATATTGGAAACTTTCTGTACTTTCTGCTTTATTTTACTGTGAACTTAGAACTACCCTAAGAAAGAAAGTCTATTTTTTTAAAGATATATTTAAAATCAAAACATACTATTTAGATAAGATATAAGACTGACAAAGGACTAATGTCTTACAAAGAATAAGAGGCCCAAAAGGTATTTGTGAATTACTTGAATAATAATAATAATAATAAACATTATATACAGACAAACTAAGAATATATTCACATACTGACTATACTATAAGTAAAAAAAAAAAAAAAAAAGTAATGGAAAAGACCAATACATAGCAGAAAAAGGACAAAAAATGTGAATGGATTATTCCAAGAGAATCAAAAATAACATGACAACATTCGAAATGTCTATAAATGCTACAATTGAAAATCATCTTGTAAAATTTTTTACCTTGTATTCCAGTTTCTATCATCTTTCGTTGGTAGTATATTTTTATGCCCCTCTAAAAACTTTTCCTTAATCAACTTCCTTCAAACTTAGAAACCCCTTCCTCTATAATTCACCGGCAAGAACACATTCCACTGTCCCAGACCATCATCATATTTCATAAGTTCTCAACACCCTGAATATAGAGAGTAAAAGGACACTGCTTAGTCAAAAACCTGAGATACTTAATATATACTTATTTATGAAAATTAGTTTAAGTGGTCAATGGAGGAAGGTCAATGGAAAATGTGTTGAAGTGTTGACTTCTTCAAAGTTTATTATGTAATACTTTTAAATGATTATAACTTGATGTCTATATAGAGTTTATAATCACTGGTGTATTTTGAGGAATTTCAGTCGAAATTATGCACTCACTGGATAAGTGTGGAGATGAGAGAAATGGAGAGGCTGTACTCTTATTTTAATGGTGATTTAAAGTTTGGTTTTTTTGTTGTTGTTGTTGTTTTTAAGCGAAGCCTTCTTCCCTAAATGTATGAACTGTAACACAGACTCAAGAATATTACTTTATAATAATGTAAGAAGCACTGTCAGGACTATATTCTCTACAAAAGACTTGATGGAGTAAGGAAGAAATTTCACTAAAGTAAAATAGTAAAGTAAAATATATAGAAGTAAAAAGATAACTAACATCATTTACAGGACAATTTTTATCACACAACACTTAAAGTAAGGCTTTTATTTAAATTAGAAAATGTGAAATCATTCCTCCTGATTTAAATTATCTTTTTGTTTTCTTTTGGCCAGATGCTTTCTCCCTACCATCACAACCAAACTTCAATTTCTTTAAAAAATAGAATATTTTTGCTTCTTTTTGAGGCACTGAATGTTGTTTCCATAGAAACAGTAATAACGTCACAGATTATGACTGGTGACTATGAACAAATAGATAAATAAAAAGGTCAAATCAAGAAAATCTTGACACATATATCTAGCAATAATCAGTACCAAAGCCGAAGCCAGAAAGGACAGAAAAGTAATAAAAAAATTCACATGCATATACATTTTAGTCTATTTTAACTGGACTTTAAATAAGCACAAGTAATTGATTATAAGGGCAGGGCTTATGTCTAAGTCTTTTTGTATATAACAAGGACTTAAAACACTGCCTTGCAAATAATAGTCACTCTGTTGAGTGAATAAATGATCAAGAAACTACATATTAGCTTCAAAGAATAATTTCCTAAATTAGTGTTTTTCAAACAGCTATTTATGACCCTTGAGTAACTTGCAACATCAGCACAGTTTTAAAAATGACATATAAATGGATAAAGAAATTGTGGTTTATATACACAATGGAGTACTACGTGGCAATGAGAAAGAATGAAATATGGCCCTTTGTAGCAACATGGATGGAACTGGAGAGTGTTATGCTAAGTGAAATAAGCCATACGGAGAAAGACAGATACTATATGTTTTCACTCTTATGTGGATCCTGAGAAGCTTAACAGAAACCCATGGGGGAGGGGAAGGGAAAAAAAAAAAGGAGGCTAGAGTGGAAGAGAGCCAAAGCATAAGAGACTCTTAAAAACTGAGAACAAACTGAGGGTTGATGGCGGGTGGGAGGGAGGGAGGGTGGGTGATGGGTATTGAGGAGGGCACCTTTTGGGATGAGCACTGGGTGTTGTATGGAAACCAATTTGACAATAAATTTCATATATTGAAAAAAAATAAAACTTAAAAAAAATGACATATAATAGAAAATATCAGAGTAAGCAGCGTGTAGTAAGATGGGTTACTTTATATAATACACTTAGAAGTATATTTAATGTATAGAAGATATTTATTTATTTATTTATTTATTTTTTCAACGTTTATTTATTTTTGGGACAGAGAGAGACAGAGCATGAACGGGGGAGGGGCAGAGAGAGAGGGAGACACAGAATCGGAAACAGGCTCCAGGCTCCGAGCCATCAGCCCAGAGCCCGACGCGGGGCTCGAACTCACGGACCGCGAGATCGTGACCTGGCTGAAGTCGGACGCTTAACCGACTGCGCCACCCAGGCGCCCCTAGAAGACATATATTTATATAAGTATGTTTTCCCACCTTGTAAAATGCATTTTTTACTGTGAATTAAAGCAAAAAAAAGTTTGAAATATACTTTCTAAATGTCACTCTGGGAGCCAGTTTATAATTCTCATCAAAATTCTTAATTGCCTGGAAATAGCTTATGTGCTAAGGGAACTGAGCTTAAGTCATGATAAATTAATCACATAAGAAATGTTCTCATTTCTTCACCTTTCCTTTCCTCTCCTTGGTAATGATTTATTGTTATTTGTTAGATGCATACGGCATCTTTCCTTCCATTTGAAAATAAGTTGTGACTAAGTAACAATAATTCATGTTTAAAAGAAATTGAGAAGTTTTACTCTGCATGACAAGTTATCCCATTTAATCAACATGCCAGGCTGCCCTGCTAATATCCAGACAGCTCAGGAGGTACTGAAGCACATTCATTACACTCAAGAAGATATATTTAAGGAAGTGGCTAGTGAAAAATGTGTGAGATGAAAATTATATTTGTTCCTAAGAAATTATTTAAAAAGTTACCTGCCTGATAAGATCAAAACCATTATAAATATCATAATTACTTAAAGACAAGAAAATAAGATCATTTATTCTTAAACTAATAAATAAAAAACTACTGCTACCAAGAGCACAAAATGAAACGCTAATGGCTTTGTAGTTAATTATAATAAAGGAGAGCAAAATTTGTCTGGAGAGAAGCAAGATGTTACATCTATCTAAAGTATCTCCTCCACTGCATCACTTTCCAATCACCTATTATATAAAATGTTTTGTACTTTATATCATTCTTTAGCCATGTTTACTCTTTTGAAAATAAATGTTTAGGTGAGCAATGTAAGCAGTAAATGATCTGTCTAAATGGAAATATAATCCCAATTCTGTCTTTTTTACTTATAGATTAGAACTGGTGGGTTATTAAAACTGAAACTCTTGGGGTGCCTGGGTGGCTCACTTGGTTAAGTGTCCAACTTTGGCTCAGGTCATAATCTCACAGCTCGTGAGTTCGAGCCCTGTGTCAAGCTCTCTGCTGTCAGCACAGAGCCTGCTTCAGATCCTTTGTCTCCCTCTCTCTGCCCTTCCCTCCCTCTCTCTCTTTCAAAATCAAATAAACATTAAAAAAACAAAACAAAACAAAAAAAAACCTGAAAACTCTTAAGGACCTAATGCATGGGAGAGGATATAGAATATACACATTAACCACTAAATAAGCAGCCTCCATGTTGTTTGCAATATGCTGGCTGATAGTAAGATTCCCACTTTATTCCTAATTTTATGTCAATGGGGATGGTGAAAGAGACATTTAATATAGGTACTTTTGCTTAAAAATCAATTTCTACAATAATTTTACGTTAGCAATACGTGTCATACTTTTTAAAAACTCAATTCAAAGCATTAGAAGTTAACATGTAAAAGGTTAAATCGTGTTCAAATTATTAAAATATTTTATGAAATGGCAAATTTTGTCTTAAAGGAGAATATTTTTTTTGAGAGAGACAGAGGGAGAGAGTGAGTGCAAGTGAATGAGGGGCAGAAAGAGAAAGAGAATCTAAGACAGGGCAGAGGAAGAAAGAGAGAGAGAGAAAAGGGGCTCACCCGAAGTGGGGCTCGTGTTTTACCCAAAGCGGGGCTCATGCTCACCCCATGCAGGACACAAGCTTACCGGATGTGGGACTTCAACTCACAAACCATTAGATTGTGAACTGAGCTGAAGTCATATGTTTAACAAATGAGCCATCCAGGTGCCCAGGAGTAGAATAATCTTGTAGATAGTCCTATCAAAGTATACTTGCTTACCAGTAGCAACTTAAAAATAACTATATAATTTTCTATTATCAGGGAACAGCAGGATTTTGCCCCAGTGTTGCTATTCATTGCTATTCCTCCCATATGGTTGCTATCCTAACTACTAGAAGATGCTGGAAAATGACTTAAAGAAGGGAAATCATAAGAGGTGTGCATTTTAATTTATTTCTTTCAAGATGAATTCCTAAACTTTCTGGAGAGGGCTTTATCAGGCACCTTCCATGACGAAGCACTGGGCTATTGGGTTAGCTTTGCAAACTAATATGCACTGAGAAGGAAAAGCTTGGAGCAGGATGGCCACTCTATTTACTACTGTTTGCATCTTTGACTTTATTCTGTTCAATAGAACAGTGTATTTTCCCAAGCTCTTCTAATTTTGACCTCTGGTATTCCAAAACTTGAGTTAGCAAAATTGGCTTCTCTTTTATATTCTTGGCCTTATTTCTTTGGTTAAATATCCCTGCTCTAGGTTCGGCTCTATGTTTCTGATTCAAGCCTAGTAACTTAACTTTCATTCCTGACCATGAACTTGATTGTGATTTTTGTCATTTGAAATGCCACTCCATCACCTCAATGTTTGGTAATGCAAGCATAAATGTTCTGCATCATAGTCACTACCTGAACTGCTTCATAACCAAGATGACTTAAGGGAGCAAAATAAACACAAACAGAAATAATATCAAGGCTTTGGAAAAGAAAGATTAAACCCTAAAAGAAACCGCAGATCCAAGAAAAATACAAAGGAAAATATTGTGAGAATTAGTTTACATGTAAATGCCAAAAGAGAAAAATGGAATCATAGAATATGGGTAATAAAAAAAGGCTGAATATACAAGTTTTCCCCTATTTTAAACTAAGAACAGAATTCTTCAGTAGTATTAGGTAAACTTACTCAGTAGTAGTTAATAGATGTCCTGCCTGAATGGAGAGGGCGGAAAAAAAATCCCTCTCAATTAAAAATACTTCAGCATCAATTGATCCTAATTAGGTAAATAGCATGTAAATTAAACTAAAATCAAACACAAACTAGCTGAAACTAGATGTTTGGACAATGCTCTAAAATCAGCTTCATACAGGTAAATCCAACTTTATATTTGTTTTGTTGAGTTTGAAAGCAGGTACTCATCTTCTCTATCACTTTGTTTTATTTTCTTTGTACCATTATTATTTTATTTATGTATGTATGTATATATATGTGTGTGTATATGTATATATACATATATATATGTGTATGTGTGTGTGTGTGTGTGTGTGTGTGTATATATATATATGTATAATTTGTTTACTTGTTCATTTCCATCTTCCCCTAGTAGAATATTAACTCAATGAGGTCCGGGACTTTATCTGTTTTGTTCATCACTCTATCTCCAGTGCTTAAAACAGTGCCTGATATATACAGTAGGCTTTCAATAAGTTTCTCAAATGAATAAATGAATGATGTGGCATTTTGATTCCATTCTTACAAAATTAAAAACAAAGTTATCTGAGAGGACCAAGAAGCCACAAATACCAACAGTATTTCATCATATGTATCAAATGACTGGTCTAATGACTGGCATTGTTAATAAAGGGGAGGGTCAGGAGCAAGAGAATTTAGAAATCTAAATTAGAAATCTAGAAATCTAGTCTAATGACTAGAAAAAAAAAGTTGATGTTTTCTCCCCACTGAGCTCTGTGGAGAGTATGCACACATATGACATTTAAAATGTTAATCAATATCTAAAGTTACTTTGGTTTCTAATCTTACCTTTAAGAAAATGCCAATTAATACCACCTAACTTACTGGTGGAGCACTGGCCTTCAAATAGATTTTCATTAGAAATCTTTTCTCATTTGTCAGTAGAGATACCTGAAGTCTTAATGATACCTGAGAACGAAATCTGATATCTGATTCGTTTTTAGGGGGAAGGGTGAAACACTTCCAAGCAAGAAAAATGCAGCTCTTGAAAGCCAAGTGGAAAGCTGAGGAGAGCTATAGCTTCCCATGTTCACTCTAATATTATTTTCACCTTGTTCTTTTTTCCTCCACAGAGAGAAAAATACACACACACACACACACACACACACACACTCATACTAGGAAAGAAAATTTTCCATTTATATTCTCCCACAACACTGAATAGCTACCTTCCGTAATCTTATAAGGAACAGAGAAGCACAGACATAATGATAAAATATTTTTGATTTAATAATACCCAACATAATGTAATTAGTATCTTAAGTGGCTATTTAATTCTAAAATATAGCTGGCAAGATTTTTTAGTGTTTTAATACTGGAACTTCTAATATTTGAAGGGAATCACAGGAGCAATTTGAAATTAATCATAATAACGACTGCTAAATTTTAGCAACTCAAAATTAAAAGTCCTAATAATTACGAACACTTAATGAGAGCTCACCATGTGCCCAACACTGCTCACACTTCACACAAGTTGTCACTTATTCCTCATACTGATCCTACTAGATAGGTAGTATTATCTCTATTTCACAGATAAGAAGATGCAGACAGATATTAATTACTTGCCCAGGAGCATAATGATAGTAAGAAATGGAATAGGAATGCAAGCCTAGGCAATTTCATAGACTGAAACTTACAGTAACATATACACTCTCGATAACCCTTACCAAAAAATGATGGATACAGGGCAAGAGCACGATATCTGCCAGAGTGAAGTACAGGCCTTCTGCAAACACATGCTCCAGAGGCGGAAGGTCAGACACTTTTGCTTTTCTGATGTGAGAAGGCTCCCTGTTGGTAGTAGCTGGTTCTTCGTACACTGCGAGCTTTGAGAATGCCACTTGCAGTTCCAGGCTCTTGGATGAAGAGTCCAACTCTTCAGATGTTTCTTGTCTAAAGACCTTGCTCTTAGCCTGGGCAGGCCCAACCCCAGCAGCCTTCTGTTGCTTCAGCTTCTGGCGACGGAGTTTGTCATCATTATGCACTCTAACGGGCTCACTGAGCTTTCTCTCTAGCTGCAGTATTTCTGCAGGGATAGTTGGGTGCTGGTCAGAAGACTCTTTGAGAAAATTCTCAATAGCTAAAGGGATGGTGAGTTCGCATAGCCTGGTCCACTGACTAACCTGCAAGACAAAACACAACAAGAGATTAAAGGATTCTTTACTGTCAACATAGCTTGAAGAAAACTTTCTGTTGGGAAATAAGACCAGTTTTGACAATTTAAGCCTTGAGCTAAACCATCCCTGGGCTAGGCTTTTATGCTAGTACAGTGCTTCAAAAGTGACAACACTAAACAATGGTCATGCATTCCTATACCTAGGAATACATGCTCACCTTGAGCATCCTCTTACTGAATAAATCCTTCCTTCTCAAAGCCTTCAAAGTCCATCCATCCCTAAAAAGCACAATTTTCAAAGCAGTGGTACTAGAGCTCCTGTTCATGTGTAAAGTTTCATTTAAAAATTCTCAATATAAAAAAAAAAAAGAGAGAGGTTAGAGTGGGAGAGAGCCAAAGCATAAGAGACTCTTAAAAATTGAGAACAAACTGAGGGTTGATGGGGGGTGGGAGGGAGGGGAGGGTGGGTGACGGGTATTGAGGAGGGCACCTGTTGGGATGAGCACTGGGTGTTACAGAAACCAATTTGACAATAAATTTCATATATTTAAAAAAATAAATAAAAAATAAATAAAAATTAAAAAATAAAACAAAAAATAAAAATTCTCAATGTAATTAAAACAAAAGATTTTTTTAAAAAGTCATTCTCTAGAAATAATGTCTCCAAACCTCACAAATTAAATCTTAAATTCTTATTTTCAACATTGCACTGAAATATTGGCATACATGAAGGGCTACTTTACTTCCTATAGGTTTTTTAAATAAACGCAATTTTAGCCTCCCACAGAAAGTTAAAATAAATGCTCGACTGAATGTGTTATCGTTTTATGGCTTTAAATAACAGAAAGAGCATTATACTTACTTCAGCACAGGCTTTCAAGCAAGTCTTCTTAAAACCCAGAAGTTCCAAAATTTCCTTCTTTGAGGGGTCAGCTTCATATGATTTCTGGATTATGTGTCTCAGTACAACAGCAAGTCCTGCTCTACAGAAATTGTCTGGTTTTTCTACTACTGCAGGTAAACAGCAATTCTGGACTATTGCTGGAAGTTCTTGCTTTGAAATAATCTGTATTTCAACATCCTGGGGCACTACATTTTTTAGCGAAATATCTGTGCTTTCTTTTGTGAGGACTAAGCCAACTTTGAAGATTTTGCAGTCACAGTATGATAACAAAAATAAAGTTACAGATGTATGAAGAGGAAAGATGCATCCTTCCATTTGGTGAGAAAAGTCCAAGTACAGATATTCTTCTGTAAGACTTTTCTTAATGCCTTTCATTTTCCTCTTTCATTGGGTCACCTGAAGCATAAATAAAAGTGGTTAATAGACCTTAGAATATAGTAATTTAGAAGCTGAAATAAAAGACGAATATTTTAAAACTTTTTCTAGAAATCAGCAAGGATTTGTGATAGGTACGATTCTACGAGAATTTGTTCCTGGACTGAATAAATGGCTTCCAAAAGAAAGATTTCCACCCCGTGCAATTAACTAGTCTTAGAGGTGATTTTACACCCCTCTAAAATAAGCATACCCCAGGTGCTTTGCAGTAGAACCCTCCCAATCAAGTACTTTGGGCTCTCACTACAGGTAAGAACAAGAAATGAATAGAATAGGAAATAAGAAGTAACCAAGAATACTGGGAGCTGTCTGGAGAAGCTTTGGCCATGCGGGGCCTCCAAATAGCTGCTGTTTTATGACTCTACGATATAATAATTGGAGAGGGGGGATAGATATTCATTCCCTCATGAGAAATAAATTCTCCTAAAGTAAGTGAGTTTTGATTATGATGAGCGTGCTGAATCACAACAGAAAAAGATTTGAAGTTTCCCCATAACTCAGATATTGACAACCAAGATATCTCAAAGTTAACATGTCCAAAATCATTCACCCCCACACCCTAAACCTACTCCTCATGTGTCCTCCCTGTCTCAGTTAATGGAGCACCATCCTTCTAGTGGTTCAGCCAAACACCTGAAATCATTCTTAATTACTCTTTTCTTTAACACCTCCATAACCAATCCATTAAAAACTTACTTTGGTTCCTCAACATATATCTCAAATCTGTTTATTTCCACACCATCTTCATTGTTTCCACTGTGATCCAAGCCACAATCACCTCTCTTCTGTATTACAGCAACTATCTTCTAACCTTGCTTTCCATCCCACCTCCCCCTCTGTTCTATTCTCAACATGGTATCCAAAGTGATCCTGTTAAAAATGGAGTAAGATCATGTCACTACTCTACTCAAACACTCCATAGCTTCCCATCCTATTCAGAAAAAAGGCAAAGCTCCTTACAATGGCCTACAAAGTTCTCCTTGATCTGATCACTCAATGCCCCAGCCAGAGTGGCTTGTTATTCCTTTAAAACCCTAGATACACTCCCGCCTTTGCAGTGGGTTCCAGTGCCTGGAATACTCCCTCATCTCCTTCAAGTATTTACTTAAATGTCAACTTCTTATTGAGATGATCTCTGGCTGCTGTATTTAAATTGAAAACCCCAACCCCCATCCTCCCTGAAAAAAACCTTTCTGTGCTTTTCTCCACACTTAGCACTGTGGTAGTATACTATATATTTTGTTTCCCACAGAGAGAATGTTCCATGAGAGCAGAAATTTTGTTTTGTGTACTGCTCTGCCTAAAACAGAACCTGAAGATAGATAGATTAGATAGATAGATAGATAGATAGATAGATAGATAAAATCAAGAAGTATTTGTTGAATGAATGCATGGATACATACACACACTGGTTATTTTAAAGATGCAAACATACACAATCTTGAGATCAAATTATTGATGGGTGTTTTCAAGTCATATTCTTTAAGAATATTGTCAATTATGATGACTCTTTGTTTGATTTCTACATTTCCTGGGTCTAAAATTCCCGTGTTCTAATCCATAAATCACAATTCCAAACTTAACACTAGATGGCACTCTTTAAAAGCATTCACGATGGAAGGCTGTAATAGGAAGATGGTAGAGGAAAAATTATTTTAAAAGCCTTTAAAGAGTACACCTGAAACTTTCTTTTAAGTGTACTCTGAAATATTAGTGTACTCTGAAATTTAGGAAATCTTAAAAAATACTAAATTTCCTAAATTTCCTTTTTTAATTGAAAGCAAAACAAATATTTTTAAGTGTCTTGGTCCTCAGCTTTTTTGTTAAAGAGCTAATAATTCATTATAACAAAGCGATATAGTAAGTAAAGTGTTGTCTTAGAGAAACTTTTGATAATGCAAGTAATCACTACTATTTTATTTTGTATTTCTTTTATTAAAACATAACAGATCTGCACAATGTTTTGTTACTTCTTTAAGAGATTATCTAGGGAAAAATTATTTCATGTGATTTAGAAGCAACAACTTTTTAACCCATGGAAACCATTTTCTCCCTAGCTTAATTAGCTTTTTTTTTAATTTAATTTTTTTTTTTTGCACCTGCAGTTTGTTTAAAACTATTGCACTATTAAAGGGTGCTTATTAAAGCTCACAGGCAAAAGAAACCACCTTTTCTAGGAAACTAATCATTTCTTTGAGGAGTTTGTTCCTGTATATCTACCGCTGATAATTTACTGATCTTCTTAATTCTCTCTGCTGATAGTGTGATACTATACAGAAGATCCCTAAATGCTTCAAGAAGCAGATTTGAAAGAAAACATGATTGATTTCCTCATTTGCCCAGCAGTCTAGGAAATAGTAATTATGAGACTAGTCCCGCTCTTTAAAAAATAAAAATAAAAACAAAACTGAAAACAATGTCATGCTCTTTTACAACTTGTGATTTAGAAATTAAAAAATTAGAGTACATGTATTATTTGCTACTTTCCAAGGCATATAGAATAAGTACCTTGAGAACAGGCTTTTTTACATATTTTATAAACTTTTGTCACTGTGAGCACTTAATAAATGCTAAATGTCAACAAAACAGAATAGCAATAACCTGCCCATGGAGATATCTAAAAATTAATGAGATGCCGGAGAGAAAATGCAAAGTAGTGTTGATTCTTAACATAATTTATTTTTCCAATATAGATGTTGGTGTGTTGTGTTCCCCCCCTCCCCCCGGGAGATTAAAAATGTTACTTAATGATCTTGGAGTTAAAAAATTACTCTCCCTGGGCAATTTCTTCCCATTAAGTACTAACGTAATTTCTAAAATAAATATTAAGTATTAGCAAACCTGTACAAATTTGATATATGTTTTTGGCTTGTACTATGTGTTTTTCAAGACAGTAGAACACAGTTTTTAAGTTTGCAAACATCATAGGCAAGAGAAAACCCTCTTCTCTTTTTTTCTTCTCCATTTCTACCTAGAGATTCCTTACATAATTATTTTTATGTCATGAGCTTTAAAAAGGTAGGTAACATAGAATCATCTTTGGGGTTTCCGGGGTTCCTGGGGCAGCTCCTGTTACTCCATATTACGTTCCTGCCAAGCACAGAAGTAGTGTCATTTGCTCAGCCTGGACAGGTGCCACACTCTACTCCTGAGACAGAGAGAGAAAATAGCTGACAAACTTGGCTGCTAAACAGAGCTGATGGAGGGTACATCTCTTCCCTGGATATGCCAGTTTGTTTGGGAATGCTGCTGAGGAAATAAAAAGGGAAAAGAAAATATTTAAGCCTGATTTCATTACTTGTGACTCTTCATAGATATTTTTAAACATAACTGAAGCAGTCACAGGTTTAACATTTTAGGCATTTACCTTTTTTTTTTTTTTTTTGCATTCTCATTCTAATTAACATATCATGGTCTTGATAAATTGAAGTATGTCACATATGAAAAGGTAAATGAGTTTCATGGGGTTTTTAAACTCTAAAAGCATTTTACTACTTCACTTCATGCATGTGTATATATAAAGAGAAAGAAAAAATATAATAAATGTATTGAAAATAAGCATACTTGTTCAGAAGCTGAAAAAAAGTTTGAAAGTTTTGTGCTCAAAATTCAAGACTGGATCTATGGCAACTAAATAGTACATAATGGATACATAGGTAAGTTATATATTACATAATAGGTAAAGACCAAAAAGTACACCACTGTAACAAAATATTGTTTTTTTCATATAAGAAATTATCACTATGTATGGAATTTGATAGCTTAATAAATGTTAAATGAGTGAACAAAGAATATAATTCTAAATAATCCTACGTACATTTGATTGTCCACCAACTATGTGCTAAACACATACACCTTTTATACATTACTTCTAATCTTCACAATCCTTACAAGTTCACTTTAGTTCCAACACATGGATAAGAACTATCCATGAATTCAAAAGCATTAATTGAATCTACAAAGGGATCTTGTCTGCAAACATTCAGGAATAGCCATTTTTCTAATATAAATAGAACTGTTTTATAAATTTAAAATTTCATAAAGTGAAGTATATGGCAACTTTATTGCAGCAACAATTCCACCAAAGTGAAGCTCATCAGAAATTGTTATTCTAAGCAATTGTGCTGGTCTCAGTAATCCTTGATAAAAACCTGTTCTAATTTTTTTTATGTTTATTTATTTATTTCTGAGAGAGAGGGAGACAGAGTGCAAGCAGGGAGGGGAAGAGACAGGGAAACACAGATCCTAAGCAGGCTCCAGGCTATGAGCTGTCAGCACAGAGCCTGACGTGGGGCTTGAACCCCCAAGAAACTTGAGATCGTGACCTGAGCCAAAGTTGGATGCTCAACCAACTGAGCCACCCAGGTGCCCCTAAAAACCCAGGTGCCCCTAAAGGCAATCATTTGACAAGATTTTTTGGTAGTTCCTTCCTAATTCTCTTTTTTGGATCCTCCACAGACCTTAGTAATTTGTGGTTCAGTACTTTGGCCTATTCTTAGCTACACTCACTCCTTTGATTACTGGCTTTCAAAGTTGTTTTTATTTTTTTTAATTTTTTTTAACATTTATTTATTTTTGAGAGACAGAGAGAGGCAGAGCATGAGCAGGGGAGAGGGAAAGAGAGAGAGATACAGAATCTGAAGAAGGCTCCAGGCTCTGAGCTATTTGTCAGCACAAAGCCCAACACGGGGCTCAAACCCACAAACTGCAAGACCATAACCTGAGCTGAAGTCCTACACTCAACCGACTGAGCCACCCAGGCGCCCCATTGGCTTTCAAAGTTTTAATTATGCCACACAATAAGACTTTTTTTTTTTTTAATTTTTTTTTCCAACGTTTTTATTTATTTTTGGGACAGAGAGAGACAGAGCATGAACGGGCGAGGGGCAGAGAGAGAGGGAGACACAATCGGAAACAGGCTCCAGGCTCTGAGCCATCAGCCCAGAGCCCGACGCGGGGCTCGAACTCCCGTACTGCGAGATCGTGACCTGGCTGAAGTCGGACGGTTAACCGACTGCGCCACCCAGGCGCCTCCATATAAGACTTTTTTTTAATGCAACTCATTATACACTGAATAAAACTGAAACAAAAGAATCACAAAGAAATACCCTACTACATGGGATGTATCTGATATTTTTAATTCTGTGCTTTTCTTCCTTCCTTTCATCTTTTTTTTTTTTTTTAATTTTGGTTAGTATTCAGTAAATTGACTTCACGACCCATTAATGGGCCACAACTGACAATATAACGGTACTATTATTCTAGGTGACCTCCAGCACCATAGGTATAAACATCATCTATGACTCCCAATTTTTATCTCAGGGACACCCTTTCCCCTGAACTTCAGATTCCTATATTGTACTTGACATCTTCCCTTAGACATTTTTCTAAACCTGTTCTTCTCCCATTAGCAGTCCCTTATTGATAAAATGGCAACACCATTCACCCAGATGCTCAGGCTCTTAATTCTGAAGTCTCACTCAACTTGTTTTTTCTCTCTAACCTACCATTTCTACTTTTGAAATATATGCTAAATCCAACTTCTTAGCACCTTTACCACTATCAACTAACCTAAGTCATCACCAGCTCTTATAAAGACTATTACAAACATCTATTAACTATTTTCTTCCACTCTCCACACATCAGTCCACTCTCCAATTGTCAGAATGATCCTTTAAACACATAAATCAGATCACACCCCCTGCTCACAACCATCCAGTGGCTCCCCAAAACACTTGAAATCCAAATTTCCTATCATGGCCTATAGTTTGCCATGACCCTAACTATCCTTTTTCTGACCTGATCCCTTACCTCTGCTCCCTGTTGCCCACCCACTCCTCTCCAGTTCTCCCTGCTGTTCTTGAAAGAAGCCAGGAATGCTCCACTGGAGAATTTTTTCGTGTCTGCTATTCCTTAGGCCTAGTTTGCTCCTTCACTTCATTGAGGTGTCTGACTATTAATTCAAGAACAGACCTTCCCTGACAACCTGAATTGAAAAAGGACTCCCATTACCTCTTAGCCCCTTATCCTTTTCCTTTTTTTAATTTAATTTTTTTAGAGAGAGCAAGCTAGCGCCTGAGTTGGGGAGAGGGGCAGAGGGACAGCAAGAGAATCTTAAGCAGGCTCCACGCTCAGCACAGACCCAACACGTGGGACTCGGTCATGAGATCGAGAGGCTTGATCTCAGGACCCTAAGATCATGACTTAAAGCCGAAATCAAGAGTTAGGACACTCAACAGAGCCACCCAGGTGCCCCCCCCCCCTTTTTTTTTTTTTTTTTTTTGCTTTATAGCACTTATTACCTGACCTTCTATCTCCAATCAGTACTCAAACTTTAGTTTAAGAAATGAATGAATGTACATAAATGAGTATCAGTAATCGTTGTAATGACAACGCTATTAAGAACTTTAGTCTTGGTACATGAGCCTCATTCTTCTTGACATCATTAAATCGAAATGAAGAAACAAGAGGACCTTGGTGAGCTGAATTGGAATAAGTGTAACTAGAATCCATCCACACTTACAGTTTTTGTGTATACTGCTACTCAGTCAAGAGAGCTAGGAGCTGAAATGGATTCTATACACTTAATAAGTAGAATATTTATACACCAAGAAATATAAAGTAATGGATAAGAGCCTAGACTCTCTGGAGGTGACTAACAGGGTTCAAATCCTGGTTCTGATATTTAATAGCAATATAACTTTTCTGTGCCTTTACTTCCTCATTTATAAAATGGGGGCAATAACATCAGATTTACCGTATAGTGTGCTGTGAGAACCTAACAATGCCTATCACATTAGTAAGCCTGTAAATAAATACCAGCTATTATTATTCATTTGTAATTTATCTCAAAATTTCTTATCCACTGATACTATTAAAAAACAAATTTTGACTGGCAATCCACAAATTATACTTTATACTTCCAAACTTCTCAAGAAAGGTAAGGGATTTTTATTGAATTGAAAAGTTTCCCCTCCCCCACCCTCCCATAAAAAATCTGTTACTGAGGCTGAAAGCCACAAAGTCACAAAATGGTTGAATGTGTAATAACCTAACTTGCATGTTAACTGTTTATATTGTACAAAATAAATAGTTCACCACAGTTTACAGGTATGAAATTACAAATTCATTTTTCTTAAAGATTAAAATTTAAACCCTTTTAATTCCTTACTACATCAAATGTTCAACATTATGAATATTAGAGCTTAGCTTGTGTTTTATGCATTTTACAAAATAACACAATTTGGTTGCAAATCCTATCCCATTTTCTTACTATCTATATGTATAAAAAAGCTTGCTCATATAGGGTTAGACAGCAGCTAATTACCTTAGATACTAAAGGTTAAAAAAGGAAAGAAAAAACCCAAGCTGCTTCAGTCCTCATTACATTATGTACCATGGGGATACATATAGTTAAGTCCTAGAGGACAAAGTTCAATAATTAAAATTAGCTGTTTTCTTATCTGGGTAAGAAGTGCAGAAAAACTTTAAGTGAAAAAGCTTACTGTAACTTTAGCTATAAGGGAAGTATGTCAGCTCTCTGGTGAATCAGGGAATCATCTTCTGCTACGGAATCATAATGCTTGCAGCTATGTCTGACCTCATAATTAAGGGAGATCACAGCATAAAATGCAAGCCTGGGGCGCTTTGGGTGACTCAGTCGGTTGAGCGTCTGACTTCGGGTCAGGTCATGATCTCACAGTTCGTGGGTTCCAGCCCAGCATAGGGCTGTGTGCTGACAGCTCAGAACCTGGAGACTGCTTCAGATTCTGTGTCTCACTCTCCCTCTCTGCCCTTCCCCGACTTGTGTTCTCTCTTTCTCTCTCAAAAAATAAATAAGTAAACATCAAAACAAACAGACAAACAAAAAAGCCAGCAAGCCTGAAATAAAATAACTGAATCCCCACAGCAAACAATATCTAGGCTTGTTATGATCTAAATGGTTTAAAACCTTGTATTCTAAGTACTAATCATAACAGGATTCAGTGGGCTACTTTAAATACCTGAAGATAAAAACTTATACTAAGGAATTGTGTATACTACAGATGTTTTAGTTGACTGGTCTATAGAATTTGTTAAGTTTCAAGGTCTGCTAAATTGTTCCTATTATAGAAAGGCTGATTGGATACTCAGTACTTATTATTTCAAATCAAGGGTAATAACCAAAGCTACATACTAAACACAGGGTTGTTGTTTTTAAACCGTGACAGGCCCACTATTACAGAAGTTCAAGTTTGAGCTTTGCTTAAAGCAGGTAAACATGTAGAAGTGTAAAAAAATAAATAGAAGAACTGATAAAGCAATTCTCAAATCTCATTGATTTCTTCTCAGACTTATTTTTAAAGTTAGACCTTTTAAAATAATGTCTTCAGGTATAACTCAAACATAATTTCACATGAGTATGCTTAAAGCAATCCTCTTAGTAAACTCCCCACCAGGCATTAAAAAAAAAAAAAAAACTCACATAGCTTAAAGTTTGATTTATTAAATATGACAGCAAATCATTCGGTTGTATTTACAACAAAGAATTTATTTTCACAACATTTAAATGACCATGTTTACAATTGCCACGTCACTAACTCGTGCCAGCTTTTTTTCTCCTTTAATACTGTTTCTATAGATAAGCTTGGAAAAGCAGTATTTTGTTAAATCATTAATTTAGCACAAGATATACCATTAAATGCTGGAATTTCCTTGACATTCAAGAATTTATAACAAGAAATGGAATCCTGGGATTAAGAATAAAAGGAAAAAGACAAGGCACCTAATCTCAAACCAGGTAGAGTTGGATGGGAAGTACGGGCGTTTCTAAAGCCAAAGCAATTTCCGTGCCAGTTAAACTCAAACTTTCCACACAGAAGTTTAAAACCGAACTGAAACAGTTTTGCTAGTGTAACAGAAACAAATCCCCCCCCCCCCCCCCCCAGCAAATCCTTTGGAGCAACTGTTTGGCAGTATTCACATACAACTGCTTTCTCCAACCAGGAAGGCATGGAATGTAAAACAAAGTGCCAAAGAGGAAAAAAAAAGAGCGTGCCAAAAGGTCTTAAAACTACACTTCGCAGCAAAAGGCAAACGACTCCACAGACTGCTGCAAACAGAAGCTGCTCCATTCCCCCATCAGCAGAGGAAGCCACGGGGACTGGCCCTGGGAAATCTGAGAAGGGGCCCGGAGCCTCCACCAGCACCCTCAGAAGCTGTGGCTGTCAAAGAGATTGAGGGACCCCAGCACTGGAGAGACATCGGACACTAATTCCACGCCCTTGCCCTTCCCACCACCTCCTCTCCATCCCGCATCGTCAGCCCAGTCGCCTCCGGATGCAAAGAGTAGTCAGGGGGATCGGGGGGGACTGCGAAGCCGGCGGCCTGAGCGCCCTCTTTACCTGGTCGCAGAGGCGCGGCCAGGCACGGAGGGTGAGCGTGTCAGCGACACGAGCCGCCTGCGCCTTCCCGCCCCGCGCGAGCCAGGTTTCCGTGGCCGCTTCTGCGAGTCTTCGCCCAAGAGGCCACTGGCTGCCAGAGAGGCCGGGGGAGAAACAACAGGCACAGTGTCTTGGAAACAGCCCGGCCGGCCGTCATTCATAATCCGGCGGACCGGAAACCGGGGGTAACGTCACTTCCTTCCGTCGCACAGCCAAAAAGTTTCCCTCCTCACACTGCTGCAGGAACCTTTTTTTCCCCCTCCTCGGAGCCGGCTAGTTCCGGGACCGGTTCGGAAGGGGCCTCCGGGAACGGACGGAGTAGCGGGGCGGAGCGGTGAGTTGTGACGAGCTGCCCGGCTCCCAGCCGCCTCTGGGAGGCTCGAGACCTCCGCGAGGGGCGAGGTGGGAGAGTAGTTCCCGTGGAGTCTTAGTTTCCTCGCTCTTTAGGGGGAAACTTCGTAATTTGCGGGCGGTCGCGTGCCCCAGGCTGACCGCTCTCTCCCTTCGGTGAGGGCTGTGCTTCCTCCGAGTCTGTTGCGGGTTCGCCTATCTAGGGCACGGCCCCAGGGACTAGGTCTCCAGAACCCCGTCTCGGACCTTCCTCGGAAGGTTTTGGCGACTTCTCTATGCAGCTCCCTCTTTCCGCCTCCCCTCTTCCTCGGGCTCCCTCAAAGACCTTCCCTTCGTGCTAGGCCTTCGGTGTGTCATGCTTTGATCAGAGGATTGAGATTCTTTTTTCTGAGTGTCCGCTGTCGCTTTTCAGCTAGTCCGTCACTTGGTTGGTTTGGAATCGTGGTCTTTCCGCTTTCCCTGCATTTCCAGACGTGTCCCTAAGATATCAGTATAACTCAAGGCCAAGAATTCAGTAGAGGAATGAAACGGACAGCATCTTTAAAAAGATTTTTAGTAGAAGGTTGCAAGAGCCTCCAAAGACATAAAGGGCAAAGCCGTTTAGGAGATGGCAACCCTAATATTGCACTCGGTGTGAATAAGTTCAGTTTCCTTTATCTTGTGCACGTGCAGATGATCAACTTTGGATGTGTGTGTGTGTGTGTGTGCGCGCGCGCGCGCGCGCTCGCGTGTGCGTGTGTGTGTGTTTTTAAGATTGGCATGTAGGGTAAGAAATGAATATGCAATTTGGGTTGGAGAGATAACAGACGCCCTAGGAAATGACATTTAAACAAAACCTAGTTCATTCATTCAATAAATATTTTTGAGAGTCTAAGTTTCAAACTATGTTAACTGCATAAGACCCTGCCCTCATGGAGTTACAGTCTAGCGGGATTAATGAATTTAAGCCAGGTAAAGGAGTAGGAAGAGAGTATTGCAGGTAGGAACACTGTACAGGTCTCTAGTCAAGACCGAGGTGGTTTTGTTTATTTTGCTTTTGCTTTTTTGATGCTTGTGGGGCTTAGGGGGTTAGATGCATGGAAGATGGATTTGAGTTTCTTGTTGCTCTTTTTGTAAAGGGACTTCGTAAGTGGTTAGAATTGTGTAGAAGGAGAGAAAAGACCATTACACTTTACTTTGATCCCTAATAATTCTATAGCCATTATTTTTGGTACTTTGCAAAGTAGCAAAGTGATAGGCAAAAAGATAAATGTAGACTCTCCCTCATAAGGTACTCAGAGTTTTATAGGGAATATAACACTTGTGGGGAAAAAAAAGAGTATGATTCAAGGTAGAAAGTCCTGGTACCATGAGAAAGCACTACTAGATATCCTAGGAGGGTGAGATTATTAGTATTTGGGGTGGAGAAGGACATACCAGCCGAGAATAGAGTCCTCGTGAGAAGTAATATTTGAACATAGAATTTGGACATCTAAAAATAGGTAAAAAGCTTCCCAGACAGAAAAAGTGAGTAGAGGTGTCAAGGCCAGCTAATGGCTCTGCTGTAAAGAGAATCTGTATATGAAGATTTAAAGTTTTTGTGCCAGTTAATGAATTGTCTTTTTTAAATGGTAGGCCAAGAGATTAGGCTTTATTTTGAAGGCAGTAGGGAGTTTTAATTTTTGAAGAAGAAAAATAAGAAGGAAAGGAAAATATGTTTCAGGAACATTAATATGTGATTTAGGCCTCAGACCAGGTTAACAGAAAGTTGTGTCGTTCATTGAAAAAAGTGCAGGACAAGGAACTTTCGGAGGAAGGTATTCATAATATCGATTTTAGTCATAACTAAATTGGGCAACCAGGTAGACATACCTACTCAGCAATTGGAAATGTGGGATTTGAGTTTAAGTGAGATTGGAGTGGTGAAAAATGTGAAACCATCTGCCTAAAGATGACAGTTAAAAACATGATAAATAGAAGATAACCAAGGAAGAAAGTGGAAGCAGAACTAAAAAAGATAGATGAGAACAGATACTTGGGCAATACCAAGAGTGACAGGGCTGAAAAGATGAACCAGAGTAAGAGTAGCCAGAGATAGATAGAAGAGAAGAACCAGAAAAGTTAAGCGTAATTGAAATCACGGAGGAGAAAGTTTTTGAAAGAGGAAATGAGTACTATGTATTCACTTGGCCAGCATTTAATGAATAACCACTATCTGCCAGGTACTCTGCTAGGCACACAGTTAACAGCAGCGGGTAAGATCAATCCTGTGCTCATCCTTAGGGAATTTACATTCTAGTGAGAAAGACTGTTTACATAATTAACAGTATAGTAACTATTCCAAACTTCCAGGATGTTTGGGAACAGAATAACAGTAAGACTTCTTACTGTATTTGGGAAGTGTGGGGAAAAAAATACTGAGATGTGAAGGATGAATAAGATGGGTATGGGACACTTTCTACTGATGTGCTGAGGTGAGAGCGTATGATATGTTGAAAGACTTAAACTAAATTATGTGACTACAACAGCGAGTGAGGAATGGGAATAGTCTGAGATACTAGATAGTATTTAATGAGTGTGTACTCTGTGCCAGGTACTCTTGTAACTATTTTACATGTACTACCAGATCATGTAGGGCATTAGAGACCTCGTTAAGGATCTCGTTCTTTAACCTTTGGACAGCAAGAAGTGCAAAGGGCATTTTAACCCAGTGAATAATACAGAAAGATGTGGAGAGGGACAAGAGTGATTGTGGGGAGACTGATCAAGCTAATATGGTAGGCCAGATAATAGGTGGTGATAGCTTGGTCTAGGGTGGTGGTAACAAGGATTGAAAAAAGTAGATGAATTTGAGGTATATTTAGGAAGTTTGGTGACTGAACACAAGGGTGTAGGGTGAGGGTTCAGGAAGTAGGAGGAGTAGCTGATACTCAGGTTCTGGCTGGAGCAGTGGGATTGAGTATCATTTGAGAGAGGGAATGCTAGAAGATCTGGTTGGGAGACAGAAGAAGAGGTTATGAGTGGCTCTGTTAGGGACATGTTGAATAGGAGGCACCAGTGAGATACCCATTTAAAGCTGGCATTTGGATCTTGGAAGAGATAGATGGGCCAGAGAGGTAAATTTATAATCCATGGCAAAAGAGTATAGATCAAATTGTCTAGCACAGTAATTCTCAAGCTTTTAGAGTGGATCAGAATCACTTTGAAGGCTTAATACAGATTTCTGGGCCCAGAGTTTTTTCTTCAGTTGGTCTCATGGTAGAGACCAAGAGTTTGCATTTCTAACAGGTTCCCAGGTAATGCCTGTGCTTCTGATCCAGATGTCACATTTTGAGAGAAAGGTGTAGAGTGAGACAAGAAGAGACCCAGAACTCACTTAAGTTGAAGTGGAATAGGAACCTACAAAAAGGCTAAGAAAGAAGTAGGAGGAAGAAACAATATCTGTTTACCTAAAGCTATAAATACGGTGGTGAGAACATTTTCACGGATGGAATGGTGGGACAAACGCCAGATTGCAGGATTAAATGCAGCATAAGTAGAAGAATGAAAAAAGGGAGTATAGAATGAGGATGACTTTCTGAAGGAAATTTTGCTATGAAATGAGGAAGACCGGATAGAAGAGGCTTGAATATATTTAAATGTAAATGAAAAGATGCCAGTAGAAAGAAAGAGAGGGCGATGGAGAGGACATAGTAAATAATCCATAGTTCAGGGTCCAGATGGGGAAGGAAAAGGTAGAATCCAGTTACAGGTAGCATTACATGGAGAGCCACCTCTTCATTTATCAGATGGGAAAAAGGAAAGGATGGGTGCAGGTAAGTTTGTAGATGTAGTGGCAGGATGTTGATTTAGTTTCTCTCTGACAGCTTTTGTCTTCTCTGTGAAATTGGTGAAGACATCTACTGAGATACTGTAGCAGTTTCAAGGAAAATGGAGAAAGTGTAACTGATCTTGGCAGAAAGTAGGGAAGTGAGTAGAAGCATGATAGGATTGCTAAATTGTATTGAGTGCCTAGATGAGATTGGTGACTCTACAGATGCAGAGTATGTATTCCTCTCAGCTGCATTTAAGAGTTTGGGTGCAGGCAGGGAGAAGGTAAATAACAGGATGGATGGCTACAAAGTAGATGAAATTATAGGACTGTAGAACACAGGTGTTTAGAGAAGAGAGTCTTTGAAAACCTGGACCATGAAATATAGGACAGGAAGTAAAATGACATACTGTAGGGGCGTCTGGGTGGCTCTGTTGGTTAAGAGTCCAACTTTGTCTTAGGTCATGATCTCATAGTTCGTGGGTTTGAGCCCTGCGTTGGGTTCTGTGCTGACAGCGCAGAGCCTGGAGCCTGCTATGAGTTCTCTGTCTCCCTCTTTCTCTCCCCCTCTGCCACTCATGCTCTGTCCTCTGTCTCAAAAATAAATAAGCATTAAAAAAATTTTTTAATGACATACTGCAAATAAATCTAGATGGATAGAAAGAGGTGGGAAAAAGAGATCACTGTTTAGTGGGAATTTCTGTGCTATATGCATTTGCCATAGATGATTCCTATCATGAGCTAAGAATTCTCACTGAGGATTAGAATACTAAAAAAACAAGTCCTAGGTGTGTATATATATGTAAATAGATATATACAGATACAGATACATGAAAGAAACTTAATGCTTTAAATGTAGAATTAATTTAAAGTCTAGGTGTTGCTTTAGAAAAAAGAATGTCAGAAAATTAGTAATTACTACTTTAAAAAATGTCAATAACCTAGGAATGGGATAATAGTGGTATTGGTGGGAGTGAATTCTTAGCTCTAATCCTCAATA